CACCTACTTGAAACCCTCTATAAGTTCTACAGTTTTCACATTTCCCTTACTTATCTGATTGCTACCTACTTCACTTTATTTGTTTATATTTCCCTCCCAACCAGTTACACTTACATTTCTTCTTCTTTAAAAAATAAATGAGTAAAAAAAATAAATTAGTAAGCAGATAGAGATAGAGGCAGAGAGAGCACCTATCTGTTGATTTCCCCTACACCTACACACACACACACACACACACGTACAAAAGTCAGGGTGGGGCCAGGCCTCTCATCACAGTGTGGCAAAGGTAGAAATCTTTAATTAGAGTTCTCATTTCAACTTTGCTGGCATTGAGCAAGGGAGCCTAATTTTCTTCTGTGAGTTTATTTTCAGTAGAGCAGTTACTGTTTAGAAATTTTCTGTCTTACTCCTCTGCTCCTTTCCTGTTTTGTTTGTTTCTGCTTTTTTGGTAAAAATAACATTTATCTCAAGACCAATCTTTGCTATTATTCTACAGGAAAAGCTTTCATAGAAATCACGTGCCCATTTTTCTGGGTTTTGTGTTTCATTATTTTTTACCCTCTTTTATACATATATCACACTTTCTTAACTTATAATGCCCTAATTTCAGGCAGATTGCATTTAAAAGTAAATTTGTGAAATATGTTTTCTATAAGCTAATAAATAAACAATATAAGAAAGTGGCATTCAAAAACTTTAGGAAAAATTCATATTATGAAAAAACTTTCGAATATTTTTGTACCAAATTGTATTTATTTTTAAATTTGATTTTCTATGAACTTTTGCAGTATCCTCCTGTTTCTCATTTGTTATGCTAATTTTGGACTTCCTACTTTTTTTGAATCATATTCTATCATTTTAGCTTATATCTTTTGCACACTTTTGTTAGAATGATTCTTATTCCATTAGATTCTCTTTTTTGTGCTTATTTTCCATGATTGTAAATACTGATAATGGAAACTAAATGTGTCATTATAAAGATTTATTTTTCTTTCAAATCAATCTGTTTATTAAATGGAATCACAAACAAGAAACTGACAGATTATCTCTGGCACACATTTTAGAAAGAAGATTGCCAGTTTCATATCCACGTTTGTTCCTTAGGATTATAAAAGATATTAAAGCATTATTGAAAACTGATTCTATCACATTTGAAATCAGCTTTCTTAAACATCTCTATATGGATAGACATTCTAAATAGATTTAAGCTTGTGATATAAAGTTGAGCAAACTAATTGTTTTCATGTAATTTATATGTTATCCACTTATAATAACTAAAATTAATTATGCAAAATGAAGCTTTTATGAAAAAGAGGAGCTGGATTTATGAAGACAAGATTTTTTGTAGTTTGATTTTACTTAATGATTGGAAAATACTGACAGTTTAGGGGCTTTTTTTGGACTAGCTGATGTGTTGCAAACGTATTCCTGACAGATAAGTGTTTTCAGACTCTAGCTGAGAGTGACTGGGGAGAGCCATGCTTGCCAAAAATCTACACTTGAGTGAAGGGTCAAGGTTGTAGCTAAGATAATGATTGCACTTAAATCCAATCTGATGTTCATGCTGAAACAAAGGAAGGGATTTTTAGTATAATCAAGTAAGAAGTGACTCATGTTTCTTTTTCTCTGAGCACTTTTTAATTTATTCAGAGCTGGTATTTTTTCCCTCCAGATTGCATTTTTATTAATCAGGAATCCATTTTTGGACCTATATACACATTATCACTTTATTAGAGAGTACATTTGATATGCTGTACAACACTGGAATCTAAGTCCAGATAATGTGGTTTCAGTGTCAGCACCATGCAAACTGTAGCACCGACATACAATCCATATTCTATGTATTTGAACTAATCATTTAATATCCATAGGACTTGTTTCTGCAATTGAGAACATAAGGACTTGGCTATATAAACAATTAACATATCTTTCTAATTGAGTACATCCATTTATTAACATCCTTATGAAAATTTGATTATTTCCCAAATTAGAGGGCTATTCAAGCAATCCATGGAAAACAAATATTTTGTAAAAAACTGCATAGATTTTATTTTTTGTACCCAAATCAACTTGTACTAATTTGTTATGACATGATTGAATGCAATCTAGTTTGAAGCATTGAGAAAGACATCAGTTTGAGATGTCCCCATCATTCCAGCATGATTTTTGCTCAAATTGAAGTAACAAGCATCAAATATATGATGAATCTTGGGTTTAAGAATGGTGAAATCATTGATGTTTTACAGAAAGTGCGTGAGGACAATGCTCCAAAAAACTCAATAGTTTACAAAATCATGACTCGTTATAAGTGGATGAGATGATATTGAAGATGAAGCCTGCAGCCACAGAACATTTGCATCAATTTTCAGGGAAAAAATAATCTTGTTCTTCTCTTAATTGAAAAGGATCAACAATTCACAGGAGAAATAATAGCCAACAGTATAGGTATCTCAGCTGGCTCAGTTTAAACAATTCTGACTGAAAAATTCAACTAGAACAAACTGTTTTACTCAATGGACATGAAAGCTGATGCATTGAGACTTCAATGGAAATTTTTTTTAAATGTGGGATGAAGGATATGAAGCATTTCTTCTGATAAGTATAAGGGCGGATGAAGCATGGCTTTGTCAGTAAGATCCTAAAGATAAAAATGAATCGATAACAAATAAAGATAGAGATAGCCAAGAGGTGGAAGAGGTTCAACCAAAGCAAAAGTAGACTAGTGAAAAGCAAGGGTCATTACAAGAGTGTTGAAAGGATATTCAAACCACTTTCTTCTTGACTCTCTGGAAGGCCAAAGAATGATGATAACATTTGCTTATGAAAATGTTTCATGAAAGTTAGACAAAGCTTATTTAGAAAAATGCCCAGGAAAGCTTCATCAGGGAGTTTTTCTCCACCATAACCCTGACAATGCTCTTGCCAATATCTAGCATTGAACAAGGGCAGATCCCCAAGATGAGAAATCATTACGAATCAGTGTCACAGTCCTGATTTGACTCCCTCTAACTTTACATTTCCTAATCATAAAAAACCCTTAAAATATGTGTATTTTTCCATTCAGTTAATAATGTTAAAAAAAAAAAGACTGCATTGACTTGGACCCTCAATTTTTTTAGGAATGAACAGCCCAGTATCATTATTTGAAAAACTGTCTTGTAGTTAGTGGAAGTTGTGTTGGTAAATAAAGTTCTTATATTTAAATTTTTAACATTTAATTCCATTTTTCCATGAACTATTTGGAGTCCCATCAAACTTGCTCTTAGTTTAAAAATATACTACTCTATGACTCAGAGTAATTAATTCATTTCATTCTTTTATAAGTTTTAAAGTTTAAAATTTAAATAAATTGAGTGCAGTAATTGAATAAATAATACAGAATGAAAATTGCAATAAAGGTGGGATTGTAACAAATTCATATCCATAATTCAGAAAAACATATTTTCTCTCTCACATTGTAGTATTTTTTTTTTTTTTTGACAGGCAGAGTGGACAGTGAGAGAGAGAGAGACAGAGAGAAAGGTCTTCCTTTGCCGTTGGTTCACCCTCCAATGGCCGCCGCGGCCGGCGCACCGCGCTGATCCGGTGGCAGGAGCCAGGAGCCAGGTGCTTTTCCTGGTCTCCCATGGGGTGCAGGGCCCAAGCACTTGGGCCATCCTCCACTGCACTCCCTGGCCACAGCAGAGAGCTGGCCTGGAAGAGGGGCAACCGGGACAGAATCCAGCGCCCCAACCGGGACTAGAACTTGGTGTGCCGGCGCCGCTAGGCGGAGGATTAGCCTAGTGAGCCGCGGCGCCGGCGCACATTGTAGTATTATTTCTAACTTTTTAACTGTTTATAAACTGGGGAGCAACCCGGACTGGACTAAGTTACTGGAATTAAGACTTATTCTATGCATCTGCTCTCCCACAATATGGCGCTGGGAGAGGAGAAAACAGCTTCTACGCAGCTGTCTCTTGCCAACTTGAGTGATGACCTCCAGGAGCTGATCCTGCTCCTGATTGGAGGAGAGCAGCGTACTCGGCGTGTGGGCAGCCGAGTTGGGATTGGCAGAGGAGGACTATAAAGGAGGAGAGAGACAACATGCACCAGGAACATCTAAGGGGAACATCTAAGAGGAACACCTGTGCAGCCCCCGAGAGAGCCGGCCGGTGGTGTGCCGCTCCCCCGCGGAAGTGGGGAAAGTGGCAGGGGGAACCGCCCTTCCACGGAGGTGGAAGGGACGGCAGCCAACCCGGGAAGAACCAGCAGCAAACCCGGGGAGGGCCGAGCAGACGAAAGAACAGCGCAGGGTCCTGTGTCGTTCCTCCACGAAGACGGGGAGCGACATAATGGTGCCGTGACTCGGATATGAAGCCTAGGCAGGGTTTAGTGTTGTTCCTCCATGAAGAGGGGGAGCGACAATAAACTGCACACATTTTATGATTGAGATCTTTTTCAATTTTTTTATTTGTCAATCATAGCCATTTTATCAAGTCATCTGGAAATGACTTTCTTGAATCAATTGAAGTATAATTCATTTTTGTATTCATAGTACATTGACAGAGCACCTTGTAATGTAAAATTCTGTGTTTGTTTATGTGTCTCTGTGAGTATTTGAAACAGAGAATGAACGTGAGACCAAACTACATATGTTCAGGGAGGAAAAAAGGGCCCTACTCCTACGAAGTTGATCTCACTCATTTTCCTTCCCATCCCCCACTCTAGCTTCATCTCCCTTCTACCAAAATGTAATACTAATACGATTTAGTGTTTCTCAGTAGGGAGAAATGTAGTTGCACATTCAAAATTCCTCAAACCAAAAAGCAATCAATACACTATGTCAGGTATGTTGTTCCTGAAGAAAATTGTTTTTGTGCTTCTTAAAGGAAGAGGAATGAGTATTTAGAAGAAAAAAATAGTCTAGCCTTGGAAGCAACCACATTTATCTCTCTTCAAGACAAAAACTCAAAATTTAAAGGTAACTTTCAAAAAATGATTAACTTAAGGCTCTTTCATAGGCACTATATATGGCTCTACTGAAGAGAAAAAATGCATCAGTAACCCACAGAGAAGGTAAGAAAATGCCATGTGCAGCTCAAGGATAATGAATGTTCAGTGCACTGAAATCACATATTCAGGTTGATATTCAGCTTCTTTACTGGTGTCTGCATTTTGCTTTTTTGTGAGTATTAAATATGCAATAGGATGAATGGTGATGCAAACCTAATAATAAAACTTAAAGTAAAATGGTTTCCTGCTTGTTATTTCTCTTGTTAGAGGGAAATAACATCTCGAAGTTCTGTTGCAGAGTTTTGGACTCAGTGTTGTAAGATGGTGGCAGGAGGAGTCCGCGGGTCCAGTCACTCGGTTCTGCATTTTGTCTCAGGGAGATGTGGCCAATTCTTCTTTTCCCAGGTTCTCCATGTGACAGTTCTTCATGTTCTTTTCACATTTGCCAGGAACAGCACAGCTCTTGTATTACAGCTCTCTCCTCTCTGCCGGGTCACAGCTCCTCTTTGTTGCCTTCTGGGTTACAGCTTCTTTTCTCTTCTGGATCTGTCAAGGAGTATTGTTGTTGTTTTTTTAACTTTTATTTAATGAATATAAATTTCCAAAGTACAGCTTATGGATTACAATGGCTTCCCCCCTCCATAACTTTCCTCCCACCAGCAACCCTCCCCTCTTCCGCTCCCTCTCCTTTTCCGTTCACATCAAGATTCATTTTCAATTCTCTTTATATACAGAAGATCAATTTAGCATATATTAAGTAAAGATTTCAACAGTTTGCACCCACACAAAAACACAAAGTGTAAAGTACTGTTTGAGTACTAGTTATAGCATTACTTCACATTGGACAACACATTAAGGACAGAGATCCTACACGACCCGTTCTTTCCACTGGGATCTCACTCGCAGAGATCTTTCATGTAGGTTTTTGTTGTTGTTGTTGTTTCTTGCCAGAGTGTCTTGGCTTTCCATGCATAAAATACTCTCATGGGCTCTTCAGCCAGATCTGAGTGCCTTAAGGGCTGGATTCTGAGGCCAGAGAACTGACACTGGAGTAGCCTGTTCTGCGTTGAAGTTTGCAGAGTCCTCAGTCAAGTCCATTTGGCAGACTCAACAACACCTGAGGATTACAATGTGTATGCTTCTCCTGTCTCCAACCTCCCTCAGGGCTCCTAGAGAAGTACCTCATATGGTTTTATTTTCTTTCCCATGGGCCACTTGTGTCCCTAACATCTGGAGTAGGTTATTGAATACTGGCAGCGATATTCTATCCCTGGTTTACTTTATTTTTACCTAACCCCTGCCTTTCCCATTTTAAGATTTGCCTTGGGCCGGCGCCATGGCTCACTTGGCTAATCCTCCGCCTGCGGCGCCAGCACCCCGGATTCTGTCCCGGTTGCTCCTCTTCCAATTCAGCTCTCTGCTGTGGCCCGGGAAGGCAGTGGAGGATGGCCCAAGTGCTTGGGCCCTGCACCTGCATGGGAGATGGGGAGCAAGTATCCGGCTCTTGGCTTTGGATCAGCACAGCACCGGCCATAGCGGCCATTTGGCAAGTGAACCGATGGAAGGAAGACCTTTCTCTCTCTCTCACTGTCTAACTCTGCCTATCAAAAAAAAAAAAAATATTTGCCTTGAAGTCCCAAATCTATAAATTAACAAAAATTATCTTGTTGGTCTTTTACATATTTTTCAATGAAGAGCAACCACTGTCATGTATTCAAAACAAGAAATTCAATAATTGGAACTATTTTGTTTACTTGCCGTCACCCACAATTAGTCCCTTGATGCTACATCTTTGGTCAACATAGGAATATTTTTCTCAAATTCATCTTCTTTTACACTTCTCTTCAGGTCTTTATTTATTTATTTATTTATTTGACAGGTAGAGTTATAGACAGTGAGAGCGAGAGACAGAGAGAAAGTTCCTCCTTCCATTGGTTCACTCCCCAAATGACCTCTACGGCCAGCGCTGCAACCATCCGAAGCCAGGAGCCAGATGCTTCCTCCTGGTCTCCCACGCGGGTGCAGGCTCCCAAGCACTTGGGCCATCCTACACTGCCTTCCGGGTCCACAGTAGAGAGCTGGACTGGAAGAGGAGCAACCAGGACTAGAACCTGGTGCCCATATGGGATGCCGGCGCTGTAGGCAGAGGATTAACCAAGTGAGCCACAGCACTGGCCCATCTCTTCAGTTTGTTAAAAGTCATTCTTCTGTTTGGCACTATTCCTGTCATCCCCATCCTCACCACCTCTTCACTCTATCCACACCCTCAGAAATTCTCCCATTCATTAACAACTCAATCTACTAAACTTTCTTCAGTATTTAACACAATATTCTGTAAAAATTGATATATAAATGCCTATTTTAGAAGTGTAATAATGTAGTATAATGGTTTGAAGTAAAATAATACCGAGATTACCAAACTTATTTAAAAATAGACCTTCTTAGAATGAGGAATCATTCATACTTCTGGAGAATACCTGTGAGTGTATGGACTTTATCTTAGCTCTGTATTTTTAATTGGTTGTTTATAAACAGATATTTTAGGGAGACTCTAAAAGATAAATGGATTACATTATCTTCACCTACTCATAGGCTTTCTTAGTAAACAAGAATACTGTAGTAATTCAATGTCTAATGAGTGCTTTCCTAGTTAATGCAGCATATGGAAGTCCTGTCACAACATTTTGATGGTCTCATATAAGATGTGAAATTCAAATCTTTGTCTATTCATTAGATGGCAATTCTATTGTCAAACAAATTGCACTTTCTTCCTACTGAATCTAATAAACTGTTGAAATATTGAGCATGAATGATATTTAATATAGTCAGGAAACAACAAAAAGAATATCCACTAACAAGTATAATATTGACATGTCTGCTGGACTGTCTTGCTGTGGTTGTTAGTTTGTTATTATTGTTTGTAACAGAAAAAAATGAATGAATTAAAAATCCCAAAATATATTGCTATTTAACCCTCACATGCTTGATATAACAGTGCACAACCAATAACAAAATGGTAACAGAAAAATTTTGCATTTTTACCCCAATGGAATATAATTATAACTACACTTACTTAGAAACAGACACATGCATATAGAAAAAATAAATCAAAGAGTCATATCTTTGTTTGGCTTAATCACCATGGGCTATGGCTTGAGAATTTTGACCATCTGAATTTATATGACAATCGATGACATACATTTAGGTGACCTGCGTCAACATAGCCTCCATTATTTCATCCAAAAAGCTTTTCCTTAGCAAGATAAAATTATAAACCAACAAATAACTCTACTGCTTATATCAAGAACATCCTGCTGTTTACTTATCTGGTACAACAGTCTTCTGACATAGAAAAACAATTAACTTGCAAAGCAACAGCTTAATTTCCCTCACTTTGTTATATCCAACAATCCTAATGTATTACATGTGTCAAGATGTTTATCTTGTCCTCAATAACTCTTTTCTGGAAAGAGCCACGACAAATGCTGTAAATATCCATTTTGACTCACTGCTTCTTAAACCCTAGCACTTCATTTACCTTGTTAAAGTAATGTTTTCCTTGATTGTAGTGATTTGCAGTAAGTTGGATTTTGATTTAATAATATACCATATATTTATAGAGCTCAACAGAATTTTGAATATTAAACTTCATGAGCTATTTGACCAAGAAACCATCAAGACATCAATGCATTTATTCACTTTTCCCTGCCATGCTCTCTGCTCTCACTAGATTTTATTCCCTTCATCCCAGATCTTAAATTTACATGCAAAGTCAACTATGTTCAATGGTCACTTTGACTGTTTACATAGCCTTAGCACTTTATCTTCCACACATATTGATTTAAAGGGTCATTTCACCTGGTCTTAAAAATATTATTTATCTTTGACGAAACCTGACTTTAAAACCTTCAGAATTTTGGATTAGAAACTACATTTTAACATTTTTTCTTTTAGTATATCTATGAAATTGCAAAGAAACATTACAAATATTTTGCCTTAAGTGAATGTTGACAGAAATATTTTCAGATTATTAAACATATACTGTCCTAAAATTCACTGTTCCATGGTTTAAAAAAACTTTTTAACACTCTGCATATTTTGGCCTCAGTTACATGACTATCCCTGTAGCTGTCTAACAAAACAAGTTTCTGTATTATTAGGACAATAAATTCAATTCTAGTACTTGGTACATATGATTAACCCACAATGTTTTGCTTTTATTAACAAGGTAAAAGATGGAATCAGTTCTCTTTTATGTCACCTACAACTGATTTCTTTTATTGACTCCTCTTTGTTTTTCTTATAATTCAGATTTAGGGAAATGTACTATAATCTGCATGTGAAAATAATGGAAATGAAAATAAAATGTAGAATTCATCTATAGGATTGCACAGAGATTACTTACTTAGTCAAGTCCTACCAGCAGATTTGCAGTGAAAAGTTGAGAAGGTTTTCATGAAAAGCATTGATTGTGGCTTCGTGCATTTCAGAACAATTTTAACATTACTATTTGTCAAGTAGAAAGATAGAAAAATGCACATTAATGTTCTTTATTAAAAGATCTGATAAACATCAAAGAAAGATAAAGTTGTTTTGAACAACTGTGCTTATAATTTATGACATGCTTTTTCATGCACCATAGTATGCATAAAACCAAATGAGATGGATATCATTTTTTATCATAGCTATTATCTCTCAAATTAACTTAAATTATGAAAAATACTGCTATGTATACACATAAAATTGTAATTTATTTCTAAGTAGTTCCACTAGCTGTATGCTACACCTCCTTTCTCCAGTGTCAATTGGACCTGTACTAAAATTTCTATATATCTAGACTACATTTAAAAGTGAGTTATGAGGATAGAATAGTCTATGAGTCTCAATATTTTCATCTGACTTAATTTAACCTATATAATTAAATGTTAACATAAGTGTATACAGGCTGAACTATTCCTCCGTCTTAGGTAATTGAAGACTATGAGCCCTCTGTTCCCAGAAATTCCTACAGTACATTCAGGTAAGCACATCAATGTTGCACAGATTTCATTACTGAGGTTTTGTTAAATTCTCCACTAAATTTCATCTTCTCACCAGAAATGTGGTATTATACTCAGCCCAGGATTTCAATTATCTGGGTTCAGAATCATTTATTTCATCCAAGCCCTGTTTCAGCTTTAAACTAAATGGGTGCTTCTAACACCATTGTCGCCATCCACCTGATTATGTCAATTATCATTATCTAGAAGGCTCTGCCACCTCCACCACATATAACATGAAAGTCTGAGCTTTCTAAAAATTTATTTTATTTGGAAGGCAGAATTAGAGAGAAAGAGAGAGAGAGAGAGAGAGAGAGAATATCTTCCATCTGCTAATTTACTTCCCAAATGGCTGCAATGGTGCCAAGAGCTTCATCCAGACCTCCACTATGGATGCAGAGGCCCAAGCATTAGGACCATCTTCTACTGCTTTCTCAGGCATATTATCAGGGAGCTGAATTGGCACCCATATGGAATACCGGCAATTCAGGCTGTGGCTTAACCTGCTGTGTCACCACAATTCCAGGCCAACTCATTGAATGTTAACGGAGGAGAGAACTTCCACTTTGATTATGGCCTTGTCTAAATAAGTCGGAGTTCGTGAACTCAAGAGGCTTCCATAGCCTTGGCAGATAATTTCAAGAGCCTCGGGTGATTACTGACATCATAAATAAGAGTGTCAATTGTTAAATTAACAACAGGAGTCACTGTGCACTTACTTCCCATGTAGGATCTCTGTCCTTAATGTGTTGTACTATGAGAATTAGTGGTAAAATTAGTCTTCAAACAGTACTTTATACTTTGTGTGTCTGTGTGGGTGCAAACTGTTGAAATCTTCACTTAGAATATACTAAGTTGATCTTCTGTATATAAAAATAACTAAAAATGAATCTTAATGAAGAATGGGATGGGAGAGGGAGTAGGAGATGGGATGGTTTGCGGGTGGGAGGGTCATTATTGGGGGGGAACCACTATAATCCAAAAGTTGTACTTTTGAAATTTATATTTATTAAATAAAAGAAAAAAAAAAACATTAGCACAGATTGTACCATCTATTGCTGAACACACCATCTGACTCTGATTTTAAGAACCAGCCTATACCAAGACCACTCTTTTGATGTTGCTCTTTCTCATTTCCCTGTCTTTTCCTCCCCCCTGTTCTAAATTACCCATTCAATCGTTTTGGCTCACTCATTGTTACCCATGTATCTTGTATTCAAAACAGAACACAGAAGAGTGCATTTTCTTTCCTGGGCGGCAGTCCTTTACTTCTCTACATTTCTCTCATCTGTTTTTTTCATATTTTTTCCTTCACCTTAGACCTCTAGCATTAAAATAAAATAGCTTTATATGCCCTGGACTCATTTTGTTTCTCAATATCTCATATCCTGTCATTTATGTATTGAATTTTTTCCTCCTTAGTAATATTGGGCCTAATTGCTTCTTTTATTTTATGTTATACAAGGTAACAAGATGTCAATTCCCCACCCCTGAATTGGTCCACGAGGTAGCTGTGTTTTTATCATCGGCTCTGGAAAGGAACCTAGGGACATTTCCTGCATCTCATGTTTCCTGATGCTTTGATTCCCACTCAGCGGTAGAGCAGTTTGCAAATCTCACAATCTACACTGAATTATGAGGATGCTTTTGAAAAGCAGCATGAAGTCTCCTAATTTCTGGGGCCCAAGAACCATAGGATAAAATTGAGAATATGTAGGCAATAGATACTCTATTTCAATGGGAGAGGTGAATGGAATGTGCTAAGGCCCTTTGTGTTTAGTGTTTACCTTTAGTGTTTACCACAAGTGGTATTTTGTAATGTCTTATATTATATCTCTATAACTTCCTTTTTGTATGATCTGAACTGCTTTTGTTTGTCAATATCTCATATCCTACTCATATAAGCTTCTTGTATAAATGAATGAAACTTTGAAGGATGAGATCTGATTATAGCAATGGTAGTGTAGTAGCTAGGAAAGGAGTTTTGTCAAAAGTCAGCAATTATCCTCTCTACTTGGTCTATGTTACCTCCTGCTTGCTCTTATCTAGATACCATACACTTCCCTCTCTGTTTATTAAAGATTTACTCTTTTTTGGAAGGTCAGAATTACATACAGAGAGAAGGAGAGACAGAGAGAAATCTTTCTTCCATTGGTTCACTCCCCAAGAGGCTGCAGCAGCCAGGGCTGAGGCAAGCTGAAGCCCGGAGCTTCATCCAGGTCTCCTCTGTAGGTGGCAGGGGCTCAAGCATTTGGGCCACATTCTGCTGTAGCTGCCTTTCCCAGGGAATTAGCATGGAGCTGGATTGGAAGTGGAGCAGCTGGCACAAGAACTGGCATCTGTATGGAATGCCAGTTTCCCAGGCAGAGCATACCTGCTACGCCACAACACCAGCCCCTGATGTTTTAAGACTCCAGTCCTTCTTCCTCCATCCTTCAACCTTGTGTAATTCTGAAAACACAAGCTTGTCTGAAAGCAGACCTTTACATATCAACACATAAAGGACTTTCTCTGAAAATTATTTTCTTGTCAAGCTGCATGATTAACTTCTCAAAACTGAGACTGAGGCCCTCATAGTTACACGGCTTCACACTTGTGGCAAATTTCTGTGAGGCTCTTCCTGCTTTTCAATCACCTGTCTGGGAACAAGAACTGGATGGTTTTTAAAGGCCTACTCCTCTATGGGTTCCATGTTATCACATTTTTTTTTTCAAAGAATAATGATGATTTCAGCATATTATGCTGTTTCAGACAATATTAGATTTCCAAAAACTTCTACACAAATCTGATTAATAATTCAAATAGATGGCAGACGTTATAATTGTATCCCAACCAGGTAAATACACGCTGATATATTTTGGCCTATGAAATGTCCATCCCTGTTTTTCTTTTTTTTTAGCTTTACAGAGCCTATTGCTGATAAGGCGTAGCAATCAGGAAACCCAGCCTGGATTTCCATACATTCAAGGCCTTTACCTTAGTGTATAGCAATATTGACTATAATGCAAAACAAGCTTCAAACACACTTGCTATTTATTTTCATTTTCACAATTTTTTCTTATCCACCTTGATCAACTGACTTAAACTGTCTAGAAATGTGTATTTCTTTTTAACTTTTAATTCCAAACTCATTTGAATTTTTATTAAATGCTCCATTTGTGTAAATTCCTTAATCAAGTGTCTGACCAAGCCCTCGATAATTAATGAAAACCCATTAGATTATTAGTAATAATAACATTATTAAAAGTAGTAGATATAGTAATCATCATTATTGCCATTCTGTAGAAGGAATTGCTATAATTTAACATTTAGAAAGTGCCATCTGTAGCAGTTTCCACTGGTAATAAAGCCTATTGCTTTTTTATCTCTAAAACCATGGTTAACTTGATTTTCGATTACAAAAATTTAAACTTGTGCCTGTCTTCATCATGCAAAATTTTCAAATTAAATTATATGCAATAACAGAACTAAATTTACTCCTTTGGCAAAATGTTATCTCTGTAGTAAGGAGTATGAACTTATTCTTTGACCCTGTTTCCATATTACACCCGCATGATATTCCTGACTTATCAATGTGCATCCATAGTGTGACACTGTTAAACTAGTGCTTCATCACAAAAGGGCAGAACTAGCATCAATGGCTTGTTTCAAGGTTAACTTTCCTGTCACAGCAGAGAATTGAGTGACCTTATTGTAACAAATCTGTGTGACCCACAATTTAGCAATTTTATACTCTTTAATGTGTGGTGAGGTGCTCTAGAAAATGTAAAGCAAAATATAAATGTTGGTTCTTATTGCTGCTCTTTGTATTTCTTCAGCTTAGCTGTTATTTTTGCTCTACAAAAATGGAATTTTTCATGAGTCATTACAGAATCTTGAGGAAACTATAATATAAGTAATAAACAAGAAATGCTGGGCTGGCATTGTGGCTCACTAGGTTAATCTTCCACCTGGCTCCTGGCTTTGGATCGGTGTAGTTCCGGCCGTAGCGGCCATTTTGGGGGGTGAACCAATGGCAAAAGGAAGACCTTGCCCTCTGTCTCTCTCTCTCTCACTGCCTAACTCTATCTGTTAAAAAAAATGTTGTATTTGGAAATTCCACAGCTGGTTCTGTGTTTACAAATTGTCAGCTGGGTTCAGTGTAAGCTCCGTTAGTACATCATGCTTTGATGTCTCCCTCTGCAAAGTGAGCATAATAATCCTGTCTTGTTTAAGTAAAAAACTTCTGATTATGAAACAAACTAATACAAAAGAGATTCTTTTTTAAGAAAACTTTTATTTAATAAATATAAATTTCTAAAGTACAACTTTTGGATTATAGCGGTTTTCCCCCATAACCTCCCTCCCACCTGCAAACCATCCCATCTCCTACTCTCTCTCCCATCCCATTCATCATTAAGATTATACACATCAATTGGGCCCGCATTGTGGTGTGGTGGGTGGGGCCTCCATTGCAATGTTGGCATCCTATGTGGGCACTGGTTTGGGTCCCAGCTGCTTCATTTCTGATCCAGCTCTCTGCTGTGGCCTGGGAGAACAGTGGAGGATGAAAGCCCAAGTGCTTGGGCTCCTGAACCAGCATGGGAGACCCAGAGGAAGCTCTTGGCTCCTGGCTTCAGATGGGCACAGCTCTGGCCATTGAAGCCAGTTGGGGAGTGGACCAGAGGATGGAAGGCCTCTCTCTCTCTCTGCCCCTTCTTCCCTCTCTGTGTAACTCTTACAAATATAAACAAGGAACTTCATCCAGGTCTCCCAAATGGGTGGCAAGGGCTCCAGTACTTGGGCCATCCTCCAATGCTTTCTGAGATACATTAGCAGGGCGCTGAATTGGGAAGTGGAACAGCTGGGACTTGAACTTGGACTTACATGGGATGGTCACAGAAGGCAGTTTAATCTACTGCGCCACAACACTGGCCTCCAGTCAGTAAAAATTTAGGACAAACTAGCATCACCTTTTCTACTTGCTCTTTTTAATTCTCATTTTTCCCTATGTAGGTAGAAAGTAGACAGACTAAAATACACCATTAAGAAAGTATTAAACTCAACATCGATATGTAAGTCTCTCTACTGTCTACATTCCTGCTATCTTTGAGAAATATACTAGTGATTGAAAAATGTTTATTATACACTGGTATTTTTATTTTATTTTTTTCTTTTAAGTTCTTAATCATTCACTTGGCATGTAGAGAAACAGAGAAAGGGAGAGAGAGATTTATTCCAATTGCTGGTTCACACCTCCTCGGCCAAGCAGAAATCAGGAACCTAGAATTTACTCTTGATTACCACATAGATAGCAGGAACTCAAGGGATTGAGCCATCATAACTTCTTCCCAAGTGCACATAATCAAGAAATTGGCTCATAATTGGAGAACTTGACCCCAGAGATTCTGGTAGGATGCTGTTGTCCCGAGCAATACCTTAACTGATGCACAAACACTAATCCCCAGTGTTACTTTTTAAACATTGTTTATAGAAGAGGTGTGCAATGTGATGACTATTTACTTGTAACATGACTACACATGTAAAGTCCAGAGCCCTTGAGAAATGCGGTCTCTAACCACCACTCCATCTTCTTTCATTCATCCACTGTACTTTCTGTGCAAACCACATTAGAGAACTTACTATCTTTAGGATATACCAAATAATTTTTCTTGCCATTATATTGGGTATGTGCATGAAAGACTTACATCAAAACATGGGGCAGTATTTAAGGCTTATGGGCAGCCCATGCTACTGTGTGCAAAGAAATATATGAATATGCATATCATGACATGTTTCCATGTTTTCTTCAGTTAATAAGCATTTGTTT